TTAAAGCGGAATTGAGCTCCCAAAAGTTTGTTCCATTTAATTCCTTGATCCATCCGCAAGCCAAAATGTTGTTTTTTTGTGCTTGTGTATTTTCTATTTTATTGCTTGAACCCAAAGGTGGCATCCAGCTGAAGAGGACCAAGATGGCAACGCAGGGCCCAGTCTATGTCACCCAAGCAGCGTATCACAACGTTCTTTATAAAGATAAATAATTCTATAAGAAAACTGTATAAATTGAGGCATGATGCTAGATATCAAATGGATTTTGGGTTTCCATACACTTGAATGGCTTCAAGAAAGCTGCTTGAAACCTTTAAATGCTTTGTAAATGCACTCTGATGTAATTCAGACTATTTTTACAAGCAAGTGTTCATGTGAACATGTGAGGCATACATTCAGGCTATAGACATCTAGGCAGCAATGATAATCAGACTGTGCTTTAGAGTGGTTGTAAAGGCTCATGGTTTTTTACCTTTATGTATTCTATGCATGAAGGCAAAAAACCTTCTCTGTGCACTAGTCCCCCCAGCCCCTCTAATTCTCACTCAAGCCCCCTCTTGATCTAGCAATGTGCACTGGAGTCTCAATACCGGGGCTTCCTCTCCTCATTGGCTCAGACAGCTGCGGGAACCATTGGCTCCCACTGCTGTCAATCACAGCCAGTGAGGCAATGAGAAGAGGGGGCGTGGCCGAGCCATGGCTACATGTGTGAATGGATACACAGAGCATCAGGTTCCCCCCTAGCTTGCTGTGGGCGCAGCCGACAGGAGGGAGGAGCCAGGAGGGACACCGGGGGATCCGGGAAGAGGAGGATCCGGGCTGCTCTGTGCAAAACTACTGCACACAGCAGGTAATTATAAACATGTTTGTTATGCTTAGAAAAAAAATGTAAGCTTTTAGTATCACTTTAATGTTCTAGTAATCCTAGGTTTAAACTGTCAGGAGCATCTAGTACTCCTGCTTCACCACAGCCGTTGGTCTCATTCCAGCATCCTGATTTTGGCTCTGATACATTCTCCCTGTCTGCCTGTCCACCTGCAAGGTGATTGATGTGGCCAGTCTCTGGGTGGAGACCAAACCTGATTTAAGCCAGCCAAGCCTGCAGTCTCATGCTTGTAATAGCATGTGTAATATATGCTCAAGCTCCCTGTCTGTCTGTCCTGCTCTGCTGTTTGGAATCCCCCATTTATGACCTCAGACTGGATATCGACTACTCTCTGAACTCTGCCTTCCTTTTCACTACGTATTTGACCGACTATTCTGAAACCTGCCTGCCTTGTACCAGGACTGTCATTGTAGCACTCTGCCAACTGCATGTACCTGTTTGCTATGTTCGCTTCGCACCTGCCCCAGCGTGGTAGCCAGGCACTATAGCATTGTGTCCTGGGGGCAACCAAGTACCATTAGGCCTGCTTGCCTTATGGGAAAGCTTGCTGTAGGTGAAGAACACAGGAGCCAGCTGTAGTGCCTGACCACCGGCATTGTGGATGAGCTTGACATAAAAAATAACTACGAGGCCTTCGGAAATGAAATTAAAGTGTGCAGGTTAGATAGCGTGAGCAAAGGTTAGAACCCTGGCTGGTTTGTACTGCTATCTACAGTTCCAATTATCTCTGACTTCCTGTCCTGACAACATTTTACCAGACAGGAAGTGAGGAGAAATCATCAACAGCAACACAAATTGGAAATTTTTTACTACTTAAGGTAGGGGAAAGCTCTGCCCATGATAGGTTTTTATTCCTGTGTGTTGCTGTTAAAGAGTTCCCCTCACTTCCTGTCTGGTAATATGTTACCGACAGGACGGGGAATTCATCTAAATCTGTATAAGAGAGCCCTGGATAATGGTGAAACAAAGATGGCTTTGTTTGGGTGGCTGGTGACGGGAGGTTTATGTATAAAATTATATTTGTATTTACCAGTAGTAAAATCCAGCACTCAAACTTCTTCCATTGAGGGCCTCCTCTCACTTCCCCTGTTTGTCTTGGTTTTAGAGGATTCCCTATTTGGAGGCAGCAATCCTCAGGGGAACTACACCGGTCTGGACTGGCAATCTGGAATCTGACGTATGACCTGACGGGTAGGTGTTTTCTGACAGTATTTCAACAATTCCATTTTTAATACAGAAGAGCCTCACTTTGGTTTATAGCGTCCAATAACATGCGCTTCACATATTTAACCATGACCTGCCTTGTTTTTTTTATATAAAATATTTATATGCTCAGAATCTTTCAGAATATCACTCACACAGAAATAAATCTATAATCTACAGCTATGTGTGCATTGCACTAATCACCACTCTTCCATGCTAGTGAAGGGCTAGACAAGACAAAGACGAGACACCTGGACTACAACAAAATGGCTCCCTAACCTGTCATTTCTGAAACACAGAAGAATCAGATATTGGGAGCTAGAGGGTATCAGTACAACTTTAGACCCTTTAATACCCACAATTAAGACACATTTAAGGCCCGTGCTAAAGTCCACAAGTGATTGCATCCTAACTTGAACAAAATCACAGCCACCATGTGCCAAGTCTTGCCTTCCTAGGGAGAAAAATCTCTGAACGTACACCTCTTACCTCTTAAGGGCAATTGAATGCTACCAATTGCAGGGTATTTTCAATGTTTTAGTAGTATCAACATTTATAAAATGTGACACTGATTTACTTATGTGCTACTAGCTAATGTCAGTCAGCAACATTAGAATTTAAAGAGGTTCTCTGGGATAATGTTAAATATTTTAAGATTTAAAAGATTTACATATTTCATCTCTTTAAAGTGTGTCAGGGCAAAAAAAATCATAATAAGTACATCTCTGTAATATATGCACATTTCTATGTAGTACAGAAAATAACAAATGATCTGCCAAAAATCCAGAGCACTCCTAACATCCTGTTTTGCCTGACAACACAGTTCCTCTGTAGAACTGAAATCTGCAGAGGTGTCGTCAGCCCATCCTTCTGGACTACAGAACTTTGCCCATCCCTCGCCCCTCTCTGTTCCTCTTCATATATAATGTATATATTGATTTCTGTCCTAGAAAACCGATGTGTCTTCCTTGACATCCAAAGACCTTATCTCACTGACTGTTGCCTCTACATAAATTTTACAAGCCTGGTGATGATGTCATAGAGAGTAATGAAAGCCATTTTTCATTACAGGAACAAGCTAAAAAACATTCAGAGACATGATCTAGAGTGGAAAAAGGAGGTTTGGGGCTAAATTCGGGTAATGCCTGGACATTCTTCCGCAAGAGCCAAGGGTGATGTTAGCCGGAGCCCTTAACTGAATTCAGCAGTGTTAAATTGTATTGGCTGTTAAGTGGGGTGCTATCATAGATGCTCAGGTAGGTATCCTCTTCGTCACTCCTCTTCAGTGTCATCAGTCAACATTTTACCACTTTATGGCCACCAACCAAACTCAGTCTCTGGGTCAGGTTCTTTTGCTGGGGCTCCTATGCTATGGCCAGGGGTCTTGTTGCTTGGTGCTTACCATCTAGTGCAGTTATTCTCAACCAGGGTTCCTCCAAAGGTTTCTAGGGGTTTCTTTAGGCAGTGAACAATTTCTGTCTCCTGGATAAGTAACCACTGACACCAATGATCTTTTTAGCTCTCTGTAATGAAGGATTCTTCCTTCTGACCACAGATGTAAGAAATATTCTTCTCACTGATCACTGCACTAATGTACCATGAGCTATAGATATAGTAGTTATTAACAGGTGTTCACAGAGACTGGAAAGTTATTTCAAGGGTTCCTCTGTGTTACAAAGGTTGAGAAAGGCTGATCTTGTGTCATATAATCGAGGATACAGCACAGGTAAATTTGAGTGTTCCAGTGATATCATCCATCAAAAATATAAACTATGCTCAGTGGTCTTCAACAGTGCGTATGCAAAAAGATTCCTCCAGGATCAGTGTTTGATCTGAACTCTAGGAATGACCCAGCATGTTTTTGGATTCTCTAGTTCATCTATCTCCTGCTTGAATAGCATTCCTGTGTAACATCTGTGCCTGAACACTGTCTGCTTGAACTGAATCAAATTGTTGATGCATGATGGATGGTGTTTGCCTTGATCTTACAGCTCTGCCCGAACACCACCTTCCCTTACTTTATCTTGTTTTCAGATTATGCTGTGGGGTGTTGATTGTGTAGTAGATTACGGTCATTTGCGTGCATGTCAAATGTTACCATGAGGGCTGACGTGATGGCCATGATTAGGGATCATCACATAGTGCAGCCCATACTTGTCTGATGTGCTCTTGGTGGAGATTGGTTACTCAAATTAATTCCACCCCTACTACCATTGCCACAGTAAATCAATCCCAATCTGCCAACCTTTTAAAATGGTGCGTGAAAGAGCTTAAAACTTTCTAAGCACCCCCTTCTAAAAAGAAAATAGTAAAGGTAGGTGTCTTGGAGAACCTCTTTAAATTACCAATTATCACTGAAATTTAAAACACAAAAGGGTTATAAATTGTGGATCAAAGGCCAATCTAAACTGGCTTTGTTCTTTTTCACCATTGTTTAAATTGCGTTTGTAAAATAGACAAAAATAGGGGTATCTTCAAAATTTCCTCACCGTTCCTGGTCAAAAAGACCCATCATGACCAAAGGTTTCTAAAACAATTTTTTGGTTTCCCAGCAACCAATCAGTTTCTTTTATCTTCTGACTAGACCGGGAAAGAAGTAAAGGAGACACTCACTGGTTGCTGGGACCAACCTAGACATCACTCCTTTGCGACAGTATCGATCATGAGGCCCACTGTGACTGATTTGTCCATCGACTGCAGTGCCTGAGTTAATTGAAGCACATACATCCTCCCAGAATCTTTTGCTTCACAATCAAATCTATACAGTGTGAACTGGTCTACAGAAAAGACCGGTTCCGGCACTCGGGACATCCTGTGTCTGAGCTTCACCTTAGGGTGGAGAGCACTCTATTCCGTACACAGGAGACCAGTGAAGGTGGAACAAGGACAGACAAGACATTAAAATCACTATTTAGTTTGAGTTGTCTGGATCTTTGAACCACTCGGGGTGCGAGAAAGAGATGTTATATACAGATGCCCAGCGGGCAAACACCAGTTTCTCTGTGATGAAGCGGTGGTGATTGCCTCTTCGTCCACGTTCATTCTGAATGTAAGTCGTACACTCATCGGAACCTCTGGGCTCATAGTAATGGTACGGCATCTTGTGCTGTCTCTTGCTAAGGCTGGAAAAGAGAACAAATACTTTGTTAGAAGTTGACTAAAACAGATAAATCATAGTTTCAAAATAACTAATGAAACTTAGTACATTGACCTTTATGTCCATCGTTAATATCATGATTCACAATTTGTTTTTAAACATTTTTATAAGAATAAAATGACTTGAGCAACATGATACAACAGGCAAAGTTCTATAACAGGGCTCTCCAAACTTTCTAAACAAAGGGCCAGTTTACTGTCCTTCAGACTTTAGGAGGGGGGGTTAAACTGTAGACAGTAGGAGCAAAAAATACCCCGGAGTCAGTGGAAGTAGACAGTGTTTTAGGCTTGGTGGTCAGTGGCGGTAAATAAATTACATAATACCTGTGTTCAGCAGGAGGAGAAATTGTACCCCATTATTGTTATTAATGGGATAAATTATGTTCAGTCATTTATATCCATGGGAATTATGCCCCATTGTTGTTTTAGGTGGGAGGAATCGTGCTCTATTGGTGTCAGTGGGGAGGAATAGTGCCCTACTGTTGGTGTCAATGAAATGAATGGTGCCTCATCGTTGGTGTCAGTGAGAAGAATAGTTCCACATATCAGGAGTAGAAAAAGTGCCCCCAGAGCTGAATAAAGGTAAGCAAAAGCATCTGGCTCATGGCCACAATACTCTATAAGTACAACAAACATTATATGCAGCTACAAGATTGAGATACAAGTGGCATAATGGAGAATATCTAGTGCTAACCAGATAGAGTCTTCACAGCCATCTATTCCTTATGTGTGTTTCCAATGTTATGGGAGTATCTTGACAGCTCATATAGTTAGGTCATGGCATTAAACATAAGAAATAAGAGTGATGTAAACAGGAACTGTGAGGAACTGAGAGGTGGGAAGAGATGGGAATAAAGAAAGAATAAATGGTGGGTTCAGTGAGAAGAGAACTATCTAAAGCCCCTATTAGCCTTGTAGTGGTAGTTCAGATAGTCAATCATTCAAAGTCAAAATTATACATTGAAAAACATTTTGAAGCATTTTCAGTGTTTGGCACTTTATCACACTTTTTTTCTCTGACTGTTTTGCATGAAAATGAACTATCAACATTAAACATCATTTACTTTGATGAACTCAGGAATGTATTTGATACAATCAAGCTTTAATGGCAGATAGTCTGATATAACTTTAAAACTGTAATCCAGTAATTAATACATGTGTTAATGTGTGTTTTTTCCATGCATTGGCGCGTGTCGGGTTAAAGCACCCCATTGACTTTGAGTAGGCAATTCTCAATGCACAAAAAGCAAACCTGTATTATTTTTAGCAATACAGTACATGGCAATGCATTGTGTGAGCAATTTGGTGCAGTGCAGGTACACTAATGTAGTAGTACATTGACATGGCATTCAAAATGATTGTCACTGCAATGTATGTTTTTTGTGGTAACACACAATGCATAAGTGTGAATGGGTCCCAATAGTTTTGATGATACTTTGCATATTTAGGGCTGAATTTTATGTTCTGATGGGAATTATCTTATACCTAAAATCCAAATACCACCTAACACGTACTCTTTGCTCCTCACATGACCTCCTACTCTCCAGTTCCCTGGTCTCCTCCTCCCATGCTCGACTCCAGGACTTCTCCAGGTCTTCCTCCATCCTCTGGAACTCATTACCCCAATCCATCAGACTGTCATCTATCGTCCTCACCTTTAGGCGCACCCTGAAAACCCATCTCTTCAGCAAAGCCTACCCCGCCCTCACCTAACAGCCGATCTCCTCCACTCCTCCTACCACTCCATCCCCCACAGCCATTTCCTTCTGTACCATTACCCCCTCCCTCTTAGATTGTAAGCTCCAAGGAGCAGGGCGCTTGAACCCCTCGTGTATTGTATTGTTACTGTATTCTGTCATGTACTGTCCCCCACTATAATGTACAGTGCTGAGCAAATTTTTTGGTGCTATATAAATACTGTATAATAATAATATAGATGTGCACGAAAAAAAAAAAAAATTAATTGAAGTCCTTCCAGCTTCAATAGCCAAAAAAAAAAATGTAATAGCATAAGGACCAGCACCACATCCTCCCTTCATTATCAGTGGCTCACACAACACTTTAATATATCATCTTGCAGTTGAGCATCTTAAAGAAAACCTGTACTAAGAGAAATAGGTAGACTGTCATCACCAATCACCAATCTACTAATTCTGATTGCCTAGCTGTCTTTGATTTCGGAACAGTCACTGACCAAGAGCAAATGTGCAGCAGGGGCGGACTGACCATTTGGAAACTAGGGCACTGACCGGGGCTCGGGGTCAGTAGGGGCCCCATGAGATGCCCCTGGTACCTTTTTCATAGGCTTTTTTGAGTTTGGGCAAGGACACGGGCCCCATGATCCCCTATTCCGGGGGCCCCATGAGTTGTCAGTCCGCCCCCCGGGGCATGTAAATTCAAAACCTGATGAGTTGTCAGTCCACCCCTCAATAACCTCAATATTTTATTAAAACAGTGGTCCTTTTAAAAAAAAAAAAAGTTGTTATTAAAAATTATTGCTATAACATTAATCATTGCTACACAAGCCATTTTGTAATTTCATGTTATTACAATTGCCGTTCTATTTCATTCTGTAGACAGCTCCGATTTTCTAAAGCTGACAAAAGAAATTTAAATGTTGCTTCACTGTAACCATGGCAACTGAAACCATTCTGTACACTGTGCGCAGAAAGCCAAGAAGATGAGAAGCCGTAAATCTCAACCTGCAGCCCAAAGGGTAAGCAATCCGGTTCATTAAATGCAAATTCAGATCAAAAGAAAGTGTAAAACATATCATACAAACTAGTTTCATCTTCAAACTAGAACATCTTTTGTGACTCTACATTGAATAAACGGGATTGCGTTCCGTTTTCTACTTTATCTGCGTAGTATGAGCCTGTGAGATTGGCTTACAACGTTCCTTGCCCCCTGCCGTTAAAGCAGAACTGAGCCGCTGGTGGTCCATTGGAGCACTTCTCATAATGTTCCCATAAAGTAAGCATTTCATACTTGCACAGTACAGCAAGGTTGCTTCTTAAGCTGGCCATACATACAGTTAATTGTGACCGGTCCTTTATAAACTAGTCATAATATACCTTAGATTGTGCGCCCCATGAGGTTTGGGGACGGATGTGAATGTACAATGTATATGTAAAGCGCTGTGTAAATTGACGGCGCTATATAAGTACCTGAAATAAATAAAATAATAAATAAATATGAGCCATGGGTGGCCATGCCAGCACCACTGCAATCTGAAAATCTAAGGAGCTTGGTGTAAAATTTCAGCCTAAGTCCTCATGCACACGGCTGATTAAGGCTGGTGTGAAGTGTAGTGGCAGGAATCTTTTGATTCCTGATGCAGCTCTCAGCAGCCAGATGCAGCCGCCGGGCCCCAGCCATTATAAGGACAGGTCGCTGGAAGCCACAGGTATTAATGGCTTTCCACACAGCCAGTGATTCCCTGCGGTGATTGCTGCTGGATGGACTTTGCTGGACTCAAAAGACTCCTGCCGTTCAGTTCGCACCAGCCTTAATTGCTGGTGTGAATGCAACCTAACAGTAAATGCAGTCAATGAGCTGCTGTCAGAATATAACAGCCAGCGAGGGAGATTCGTTCATCCATGCTGGGGGAATCCATACATTTCTCCTGTTCAGCTCCGTGGGAGAAATCCTAAAATAGGTTCACACCGGCAGTTTTTTTTTTTTTTTATAATTCAACCAGTGGATTGAATGAAAAAAAAAACTGACATTAGATTCAAGCACTGAATGAATGATGGTTTTCCAGGTAGACTATTCGACTGAAGCCAGTCTTTATACTGCCTTCTGTTGAATAGACAGCTTTACACATGGACCAAACGTTGGCCGGTTTCTGATGAATTGGCCAAATTTCGGCTTGTGTGTATCAGGCTTAAAAGTGTATAGCGAGCCTAAGTTTGAACACCTCTAGCTATTACAGGTCCATATTTTATCGCCTCTCTACCGCTGTCATTGTTCCAGGCTTTCTTTATACATAGGATGGACACGATGTAAAGGAGTGGTGTTTTTTTACATAAAAACTTGACCCATTAGTAAAGTTTTTTTCAGAGGGGGGGATTCCTTTTTACTTAAATTGTTATGATATACAGCAGGGCTTAAAATTTCAAGTCCTGAGCTACTAGCCAGGCCTTAAGAGTTACTCGCCACCAACAAACACACACAGAGACACCTGTGTACACACACACACACACACACACACAGACACATGTGTACACACACAGGTACGTACAGACACGCATACACACAGATACATGTACATACACAGAAATACACACGCACAGACACGTACACACAGTCACATGTACATCCATACACACAAACACACATGTACACACACACATACATGTACATACACGCAAACACATGTACAGATACACACATGTACATACACACAAACACACACACATGTACACACACACACCACCCCCCGCCCCATAAAAAGTTGCAGTACTTCGTTGTTCACTCACAGAGCTGGGTACTGCACTCTAGGGGGAGGCAGAGAGCACAGCACACACTCCTTCCTTTGCTTTCACTGCGCTCAGCTAATGAGCAGTCTGACGGCTCCCAGTGCCAATGACAGATCTGGACTGAGCTCCGAGCCTGCTCAGCAAGACAGCCCTAGAGGACACACTCGCCCCCACCATAATTTCCACTCGCCATTGGTGAGCAGGCAAGTGGAAATTTCAAGGCCTGGTATACAGAACGTTGTACCACCAGTCCTTGAAAGGCTAATTGTTGTGATTCCATCTGCCAGAACCTCACTACAGGACACAGAAATAGTATAGAGGTCGGTGGATGTAACCATAGCATGCAGTGAGAAACCACACATCTGACACCCAGAAAAGTGACAGATACTGAAGATGAATCGGGGGACATAAATTGGTCTTTCACAGGCGTCCCTTGACCACTGATACAGTATACAGTTAGAGTCCCCGTTTTCTGTTGGAACAGTGACATCACACAATCATGAATCCCACACATGACTGTCTGAAAACTTGTGCTGAACACAATTGTACCACCATGTGATGTGCGGCATTTGTTCTTCGTTATTCTTTATCCCAGCGAGCGAAAATTGGCCATTACAATTCTCATCACCTACTCAGACTCTTTTATTCTGCCGAAATAGCTTCTCTGCAACCTAAACCAAACTGATGATAATATCACCCTGATTGCTATTTAATAGGAAATCCTTAGCAAGGTTAGAGTGTGAGTAAGAGATCCATTACCTGCAGTAGTTAGGTGGCACCATTCCATATACGTGAACATTATTACATAGCTCCACCGCAATCACCATTGTAAACCAGCCTGTGCTCAGCCAGGAGTGAGACTTTTCCCTGCCGGAGACAAAAATATAGTTACTAAACACTTATAATTTTTTATTAGAATATGGCGTGAATAATTTTTGTTCAATTTTATTATAATAATCTATTCTATTATGATGAGATATGATATGATTGATATGATATGACATTATTATAGATGATAAGACAAAGCTTCCATGTGGTTTATTTTAAACAGGTGAGCTCATACACTGGTTAGAAGAGGATGTAAAGTGTCTCCTAGATTGTAAGCTCCAAGGAGCAGGGTCCTCCTAACCCTCTTTCATTGAACTGTAATATTGCTGAATTGTCTGCCGATTTATTGTAAAGTGCTGAGCAAACTGTTGGCGCTATATAAATCCTGTATAATAATAATATAATACTAAGCCTACCACAGTAAAATCAGTCTGTATATGCAGTAAAGCATGCTTGTTATACTCACTGTGGAACCTAAGGGGTTAATCCTCTGCATTGCGTAAAAAGGCCGTTTGACCCTGTCTTCTCTACTCCTCCTCTTGTTCAAGTGTCCACAGCTTATCTCCTGATAAGACAGATTGAACCGTAGCCATTACTACAGATGCTCAGTTTGGTGTGTATTGCTAGAGAGTTTTTTTTTTTTCTTGGGAGAGTGCATGTGATCAGCACGTGGCCAATCAGCACTGTCCAGACTGAGGGTCAGGGGTTTTGCATCCTCCTAGTGCAGGGGTGTCACACTGGCGGCCCTCCAGCTGTTGCAAAACTACAAGTCCATCATGCCTCTGCCTTTAGGGGTCATACTTGTAACTGTCAATCTTGCAATGCCTCATGGGACTTGTAGTTTGGCAACAGTTTGACACCTGTGTCCTAGAGCAAATAGAAAACTTCTCCTACAAGCTACAAGCATCTGCTGGACACTGTTAAAAGTCACAAGACTGCTCTAACTTCTGATTAGAAAAGGTATTTAGCAGTTTTTATTTACTAAAATAATTGTATTTCCATGTTGTGTGTACTGTGGAAGAGCAGATATAGTGAATGCAGGGTCCTGGGAGACCAGATATAGTGAATGCTGGGTCCGGGGAGACCAGATATAGTGAATGCAGGGTCCGGGGAGACCAGATATAGTGAGTGCTGGGTCCGAGGAGACCAGATATAGTGAATCCGAGGAGACCTGCTGGGTCCGGGGAGACCAGATATAGTGAATGCAGGGTCCGGGGAGACCAGATATAGTGAGTGCTGGGTCCGAGGAGACCAGATATAGTGAATGCAGGGTCCTGGGAGACCAGATATAGTGAGTGCTGGGTCCAGGGAGACCAGATATAGTGAATGCAGGGTCCCGGGAAGACCAGATATAGTGAATGCGGGGTCCGAGGAGACCAGATATAGTGAGTGCAGGGTCCTGGGAGACCAGATATAGTGAATGCAGGGTCTGGGGAGACCAGATATAGTGAAGGCAGGGTCCGGGGAGACCAGATAGTGAATGCAGGGTCCGGGGAGACCAGATATAGTGAGTGCAGGGTCCTTGGAGACCAGATATAGTGAATGCAGGGTCCGGGGAGACCAGATATAGTGAATGTAGGGTCCGGGGAGAGCAAATATAGTGAATGCAGGGGTCTGGGGAGACCAGATATAGTGAATGCTGGGTCCGGGGATACCAGATATAGTGAATGCAGGGTCCGGGGAGACCAGATATAGTGAGTGCAGGGTCCTGGGAGACCAGATATAGTGAGTGCAGGGTCCTGGGAGACCAGATATAGTGAGTGCAGGGTCCTGGGAGACCAGATATAGTGAATGCAGGGTCCGGGAAGACCAGATATAGTGAATGCAGGGTCTGGGGAGACCAGATCTAGTGAATGCTGGGTCCGGGGAGACCAGATCTAGTGAATGCTGGGTCCGGGGATACCAGATATAGTGAATGCTGGGTCCGGGGATACCAGATATAGTGAATGCAGGGTCCGGGGAGACCAGATATAGTGAATGCAGGGTCCGGGGAGACCAGATATAGTGAATGCAGGGTTCCGGGGTTTAGTAACACTTTAAAAGATCATTTCACTTTAATGCACTAACTCCTTCTCTGTATCATCAACGGCGTTCAGCGTATGAAATAATTATCTAGAACTAGATCTTTACTACCCGGATCTGCACAGCCTTTGGCTCAATGCTTCAGAAATCTTTTAATTGGATCAGCAACAGGAATGCCACACACTGAGTGCAAAATAATATTCCTTTATTAAAACAGCCAGCAGGAACAAGTTCTGTTCTGACATGTTTCTCGGTAGGCACAGCGCTGTCACAAAGAAAATTAATTGAGAAAGTGCAAAACATGGCAGAATCGAATTGGTTCCTGCTGGCTGTTTTAATAAAGGAAGACTGTTTTGCATCTCAGTGTGTGGCATTCCTGTTGCTGATGTAATTGATTGCTTCAGTGGAGACAATACGAGCTAGCACCTGAGATGTGATGGAGCCTGATCTTGTCTGGAGCAGCATGTGAAATATTTGACATCAGAAATCTTTGGAGCTGTGCTTCTGCTTGCACCTCAGGCCTCCATACACCTCTACAGTAAGTGACTAGAGACCGCAGTACAGTCTGGAAGATTTTAGCCAGAGGTAGTACAGATCTGCGCACTGAAGATCTCAAGACAGCAATGATTTTGTATTTTAAATGTTGAAAGTGCTGGAGAAGGAAGCAAAGGGTTGGTTATAAAAGGTGTAGTAAGAGTGCACTTATCTAAACCCAAGACCAAAAGCCTAATATATTGCAGCTTACATATGGTGGCTGCATTAGTCTTCTTTTTTTCAGGCTAAGTACATTTAAATACAAGTACAGAAAAGCGCCTGTTGATTCTGCTGAAAACCTTGTGTCCTCGTAACTTACAGTGCACTTAATTTAAATCAACTTTTCTAGCCACCTTCCATGACCTACAAAACAACTCCCTCCTATGCAATGGAGAGGCAGACGTGTTTGTAGTCCAAATTATGAGAGCGGCCTAGGGTGACAACCATGGCTCCTCCATAGATACAGTGCGTGTGTACAGTGAGTGAGCGTGGTCACCATAGGACAGAAAGCATCACCAGGTGAAATTAAAATAAATAATAACTGAAAAAAGGAAACTAAATCAGCCACCACACCACATCTAAGGTTTAGTAAGCTGCAAATATATAATATTTTTGTTTTTGGATTTGAAAGCATAGAATTGCATTCAAATCCAAATCCAAAAAGCTTTCAACATCAATACTTCAATCACTAGACACGTATGGTTCTTTAGTGGTTGTTAGGAGTTAGGTTAAAGCAGGAATAAACTCTCTCAATCAACATTAAATATTTTTAATCTTTATACTGCTAGCATTAGAAAATAGATGGGAAGGTATATTATATTTATTTGTTTTAAAATAAATTTTAATATTTCTTTGGTTGCTTCCTGGTTTCTGGCCTAGGCCAAATTGATATCATATATCCGAGGTGTCTTCATGGGTATTTTCTTTCTTTCATCTTGACCAGGAGCTTTCTCATCTTAGCATACCCTCCTGCCCGCATGTCTGAGCTAAGGACAGATGAATTCTAGGAAGAAACTGCTACATGAATCATCTGCCTTTACTCAAGATAGCTAGAAATGCTAAGAGGTGTTTTTCAGACTGATTTCTCAACAAAGAAAAGAATGGAGACCTGGATGGATGTGTGAGTTTGCTTTTGAATATTAAAATGAATTAAATAGTGTATTAATTTTGTGGTGCTCAGATACAGTTTAGTTCCACTTTAACCGCTAGCCTACAGGGCACTTTTACCCCCTTCCTGCCCAGGTCAGCTTTCAGCGCTGTCGCACTTTGAATGAAAATTGCACGGTCATGTAACACTGTACCCATATGAAATTTTTAGCATTTTTTTGTGACAAATAAAGCTTTATTTTGGTGGTATTTAATCATCTTGGGGGTTTTTAATTTTTCTTTAAAAAAGCAAAATCCACTGAAAATTTTGAAAAAAAAAAAAGTTTTTTTCTTAGTTTTTGTTATAAAATTTTGTAAATAAGTGATTTTTCTCCATCACTGATGTGCGCTAATGAGGCTGCACTGATGGGCACTGATAGGCTGCACTGATGGACACTGATGAGGAGGCACTGGTAGGTGGCACTGATGGGCATTGACAGGCATCACTGATGGGCACTGAAAGGCAGCACTGATACATGGCACTGATATATGGCACTGATAGGCAGCACTGTTAGGCGGCACTGACTGGCACTGATAGGTGGCACTGATTGGCAGCACTGATAGGTGGCACTGATTGGCACTGATGGGGACACTGAAAGGCAGCTCAGATGGGCATTGATGTGCACTAGTAGGCACTGAGGCACTGGCAGCTGGCACTGATGGACACTGACAGGTGGCACTGCTGGGGCTACACTGATCATCAGGGCACACTGATCATCAGTGCCCTGATGATCAGTGTACATGTCCCCTCAGTGGAAACCCAATTACCGGCTCTCCTCTCGACCTATCAGCGTGACAGCTCGAGAGGAGAGAAATGCCGATAACCGGCATTTCCCTGTTTACATGTGATCAGCTGTGATTGGACACAGCTGATCACATGACCGAGTCGACATCTTCGGCTCTTTCCGTGATCGGTGATCCGCTGTGACCGAGGGACACAGCGCCCCGCCGATTGCCGCGCTGCACACTCTCTGAGCTGCGCATGCACGATGAGAATGGGAGGACGTCATATGACGTCCTCCCAGAACGAGAGAACCACCTTGCGTCCGTCATATTACTATATGGCGGGCGGGAGGTGGTTAAAGTTCTTGTAAAGGCTCAAGGTTTATTACCTTCATGCATTCTATGCATGAAGGTAAAAAAACATTCTGTGTTCAGCCACCTCCTCAGCCCCCTAAAACTTGCCTGAGGCACATCGCGATCCAGAAATGTGCACGAGAGCCTCAGCTCTCCAGGGACTCTCCATCCTCACTGGCTAAAACCTCAGCGGGAGCCAACGTCAATCACATTCAGTGAGCTTATGAGGAGAGATAGGGCTGGGCCGAGCCATGGCTCTGTGTGTACCTGGACATGCAGAATAGCAACTTAGGAGCGAGCCTTCTTGGGTGCCCCCAAAAGCAAGCTGCTTGCTCTGTGGGCACTTGGCAGGAGGGAGGGGCCAAGAGCGCTAGGAGGGAACCTGAGAAGCGGAGGATTGGAGCTGCCCTGTGCAAAACCATTGCACACAGCAGGTAAGTATTACATTTGTTATTTTATTTCTTCAAAAATTGCCTTTAATATCACTTTAAGAGTTAGATTGGGGTTGTGTTAGAGGCAAGGCTGTTAAAGGGTCCTTGCAAAAAATGTTTGTTTTATACATAGTATATTTGTAAAAGACATCAGCCTGATATGAATTTCATATGCAGGTTCTGCTTCCTGCTGTGCAGTGCTGCACAATGGGTATGCTTTTCTGCTGCTTATTGTGAAGGTGTATGAGCTGGCAAACTCTTTGAAAACTTCTTATGTGGGAAATTTTTTATTTTAGCAGTTATGGACGCAGGATGAGTGATGGCAGTGAATTGTTCTCCCTCTAGTCGCCAATTTACAATTCTCTTGTTAGTCAGTTTTCCAGCTTCTCCCATCAGCTAAGGGTTAAAATCTCTTCTCAAGCTTCTGGCTGCTCCCATCAGCTGCGAGGTAACAAGTCTTGCCACACTTTCCCTAGCTGGATTAGTCCTTATCATAGTAGGCACCCTTTTTAAACCTCATCAGCCTGTGCTTGCAGTACTGTTAGCTTCCTGGGTTCCTTGTCTGTTTCCTTGGCTGACCAGCTCTTCTATTATCTTGGATTCCCTTGTTGCCAGCCTTTGTCTTGTACCCGGATTACTCTTTGGATTGCTTACTGGACTATGCTTGCTTGCTATCAGCCCTGACCTTGGAACTGTTTTCGAAATACGTTTGCTTGCTACCTGCCCTGATATTGGACTGTTCCATAATTCTGCTATCAGTCTCTGTCTACTGCCTGGCCAGCCTCACGACTACAGCTACCCTAACTTGTCTCAGGTGCTCAGTCCTGGTGCCATTTGGCCAGGAACTATAGCATTGTGTTCTAAGACCTGGGGGCTGGCAAGTACAGTTAGACCTGCCTGCATTAAGGGGACGGGGGGCTACTGAAGACAGAAGAAATACCAGCTAGCTATGGTTCTTGGCCTAAGCACCGGGTTTTGAAAGGCTTATCTAAAATGACTCTTGGGTGAACATGCTATAAGAACTCAAAATATGTGTACACTTTAAAGTGGATGTCAACTGAAAAAGTGAAGATTTATTATCTTATAGGGTATTTATAGAGATGTTAATTGTGTCTAAGCAGTACCCTGAAAAAAAAAACTACTTTTTTTCCTTGAACTTCTCTTAAAAATTAGAAGTGCACCCTCTCTTACATTTAAAACCTATGGGCTTATCTAAACACCAATTTAAATTTGCCACCCATGTACTGTTGGTGGGCAAACGAACCATAGCGGAAGCCTGGAAACAACAGTTTGTGTCCTTTTCGGAAGTCCATCGCCGGTAAGATTTTTTTTTAAATGAACAAGACTACTGTCTAGTATCCTCTCAGACACCCATGAGAGATTCCTCAAAACCTGGACTCCATGGATCCAGTATGTCCATCCTGAGATTTCAGCGAACAGCTTTACTTCCCTTCAATCCATTCAACCCTTCAGGTAGGATTTAGATATTCTAGATGTCCATTCTCTTTAATCTGCCTATATCTTTTTCTCTCTCCCTTTCTCTGTCTCCCCCCACCCCCTTTTTTTTTTTCCTATATTTTTGATTTTTTGGCTCTCCCACAGGGATGCCCTACGACCTGCGAGACATCCTATACGTCTCTTAGTATGGAATATATTAGTGTTTCTAAAATGATATACTCTTTGACTAGTATTGTTGGTTGGATTACTGCCAGACTACTTTTTTCATGCACTGGCTAACCAAGCGGCACAACATTGTATGCCCTATTTTTACCTTCTGATCAGTTGATTTGAACGTTACCTATTCTAACTATGTGCCTTTTGCAAACAATCGTTATTGACTGTTTGTACTTACAATTCTGTTTATGTATTATTATATGGTTAAAACTGTACTTTGTATTTAAAAATACAAAAAATCCAATAAAAATGATTGAAAGGAAAATTAGCAGTGCACCTATAATGTGACTGTGCCTAGGCAGCCTATTCTGTAGCTTCATAGTTGTATATCTGCTGTGTGAGATCATCTATAGCACTGCTTTCTATGACTGCTAGTCTTATGAGATTTGGAGATGTCACTATTGTGATGCTCACTGTTCTTACTGGAGAGGAAGCTGTACCTGAGATCCTGCAGTGCAAGAATCTCCCTGCATATGCCTTATCCATTCTGTGGATCTGTGCTTCCTTCTAGGTGTCATCAGGGAAACAGCTCTCACAATAAGTAAAGCCCTGCCTTTAAATCAGTAATGGGGAAAAGATCCTCTGCTGGGAGATCATAGGCAATGCTACTGACTGGTTCTTTGCCCCTGCTTGCATTTTTTTTTGTTTTGTTTTTTTGGGGGGTTTTTTGCACAACTTATTCAGTTCAGTTCCTCTTTAGGATGAAGGTAAGGCAAAATTAATGAAACGTTATTTTTCAGTCCAAAAAGTCCTATGTTTAAAGTGAACCTATAATAAGAAATCTACAGGGCTTGCATTCCTGGCCGTGCTTGTCTTTTGCCGCAGATAAGATAAATATAGATCTATAGATAAATATAGATAAATATCAGAAACGTTTCTGGGTTGCTGACTTGAGGTGATTGTAGCCGTATTAGTGCATTTGCGACAGAAACAATTTCTCCCCCCCCCTTTGCTTTTGCTGTGTCTTATCTCTAGCCTCTTCTTTTTTTTTTCATCTCCTAACATTCTGCTAAAACTTTGTGATTTGTATAGTACTGCTTGGACCTTGAAGAAGGGGACACTCCCCGAAAACCTGTCCTCGAAATTGTATGTTAGTGCAAATAAAAAAGTATCACGGACAGTACTCAATTGTTTGGGTTGCTGACTCAAAGTATTGAGACCAACACATCAGTATGACTACCAGCCAACTGGCATTTTCAGAAAGAGTGGTCAGCCATGACTCTCTCATGACAGGTTTTGAAAAAAAACCCAATTCAGCCTTGTGGGATAAAAAAATCTTTACACTTTCCTTTTTCCAAATCTTAAATGATAGTTTAAATAGTGTTTCCACCAGCAAATCATCAAGATCTTGCAACTCAATCCAAAAAAAAAAGATTTATTATATTAGTTTACCAATCCTTAGATGTGGTGCTATTGTTGGTTTTGATTTATATTCATTTTTATTTTAACCTGTCAACTTTTCATTAGGGGGAAACTCTTACTTGCTGTACTGTATTTAGGAACAGCATTGTCTGATTAGATGAGGTGGAGATGTCACTGCCCCCACCTCTCCACCTCATCCAATCAGAGAACACATTGCATCCATTGAGAAACAGCAAAGTGATCTCTGAATGGCGCCTGTGTAGAGCAGCTGACCTGCATCTAAAATGCATCATGGCAACCACGCAGCACAGGAACCAGAAACAAGTGGAGATCACTGGAGTAGTGTAGTGGTGTTTACTACAGTGATTTCCAGCTTTCAGAGGGATCCAACAGTTATGGTATACTGTATATGCATAGTTACATTGGTCCAAGCTGTGCCAATGTAACAACATAATGTCCATACCTGGAATTCATCTAATTAGATAAGGAAGGTCACTCTGAAATTGTCAAGCAACCTGCATATGGCTGGACATCATATCTGTTTCCAGAAAGACTCATATAAAACTGTATTAGTAACAATTCTGAAAAGCTTTATTCTAACCGGTCTCGTCCAGTCAGTCTCTCCCCGAAACAGCTCGTCAAACCTCATCATATTTCGAGGAGACAAAACGAAGGCTGACACATTGGGGAAAGCAGAGCTGGCTCTCTCGATGATGTGATACAGGTTAGCTTTGCTGTTTTGAAGCATCTTGATCGGAGGCCCCCAGAAGATAAGTGTCTGTCTTGGAGCTCGGCTCAGGAATTCCTGTGGCCTTCGCAGGACCCGGTATACGCTAGAGTGGGGCGACCACCCGGAAGGTTGTTTTGTTCCCCACGTCCTTTTCATAGCCAGTGGTGGGAGCATCGTTCATGCGGATGATGCATTCTGCCTGATCGATCTTAGGACCCAAACCGGTGTTCAGCAAATGGCTGGAGCTGGTGACGAGGACACAACTGTTGCATTTGGAGTGTAGAGTCTAAAGAAGGTTCAGAGGTCCACATTTAGGTTAGACTTTAAATCATTAAGTGATATCAATCAGTAATTACTCTAGGCAATTATGTAGAGCTATACAGTATGCACCTCCCCAAAAGACATAAACAAAAATTGACTTTCTAAAAAGTTAATATTTCAATATGACTAGGCAGACCCACCATGTGATGGTCCTTGGGCCTGGAGATAACCACTCATGCAACCAAGCTAGTATTGTGGGAGGATGGAAGGAGTCCCCATACTGATATGTACTTGGTGTTTGTCAGGGCTGCAGCCAGGGCCAGACTGGGATGCAGAACAGGTGAACATTTGCCTCTTCTTTCCCAGCCCCAAGGTCAATATTAGGATATATCTGGCTGATGTCCCCAAATGGAGATACTTTGCCATTTGGATATTGGACAGAAGCGTCTGGCATTGTTGAAGGAATCCCCCCTGCCAGCCTATTGTATTCTGACAGTCACAATACCTAAATGGTATCCACAGCTGTTTGGCTGACAATTTTCAGTCTAGCTCCTTTGACAAAAGCCGATGTAGTAATAAACTTCTGTAGAGGGAGCAGAGACACTGATTCCTGTAAATCGGACAAAATATAACAATGTATGGCCAGCTGTATGTTGTAGCTCTAAGATGTCATGTTACATCGTTGCATAAATTATGAGGTTGAAAAAAGACACAAGTTTATTTAGTTTAACCTATTCATATGACTGAATGGAGAGAACCCCAAGGGAAGATGGGAAGATGTTGCTGAAAAATTTGTGTCACAATCGGTGCTTAGACAAGGTCAGCTAGTAACCAGGGTGAAGATTGAAAACTGTCCAAATGTGTGCAGTGTTTGTGGTATGTGCAGAGAACTGAAGAGTTTAAAATCGGTGCACGAATATGGGGCTTACAGTGGCAAAGTAAAAAATATGCCTGCATCAGTGTTGTCACTGGAAGGAAATATGTCCCCGCGTCAGTGGTGTCACTGGAATGAAAAAAAGTTCCTGTATTGGTGGTGTTGCTGAAAGGAAAAATGGCCCTGTATCAGTAGGGGAAAAAATGTTCCTGCGTTGGTGGCACCAGTCTGAGAAGGACTGCTTTGGCATCTATGTCAGTAGGATGAAGAGGGGAAGTGCTCTTGGAGGTGGGCTCTGGGGGGCGCATAGAACTAAAGGGACCTGGATGAGTTCTACTTGATGGAGGAAGTGGGCTAAAGAGCTCTAAGGAAGGGAGGAGGTTAATGACTTTTGAGACTCTGAATTTACAGAGGGTGGGGGGGACAACTCAACCCTAGACCTCCTTTTCACTCAGTTCAGACCTCCATGCATGACGCCCACCAGGAATAAAGGCAACTTCTCCTTATTCCCATCTCAGTTTATGCAATATGTCACATAACAAAGGACAACAGGAGGAAAAGAAGCCTGCCTTCATGCTGCCATGAGTTGGAGGTGTGTTCTCAGCAGCTGGCCATTCTGTATGTAGGACATTATTGGAGAGAGGAAAGAGCAGAATCCTCCCTCTGGCAGCTATCAAGGTCTCTGCTCCTCCTGACAGGAGTGATGCTGCAATCACTGACAGCAGTGAAGTGCTGGAGATTGGAACGGCCAAAGCACCCAATGTAATACCCCCCCCCCGCCTACTTTTCCCCATATTAACTCTGTTCCCAGGGCACATAGCCCTTCTGCCTTCCCCCCCTTGTCCCTGCTCTGGCTACAATAAATGATGTCCTTCAGGAGCTTTTATCATGGCCACCAACCAATAGGTCACCATGGTACACATTGCATGATGCCTTTTCTTTAGCCCACAGAAACCATGAAAGGGCTGATTGGTTGTGTTTACCCTCCAGGACAAGGGTTCTCAGTCTTCACCAGGTTGTAGCAGTAGATTAGTGAAGCAAAGTGTATGTAGGACATTATTGGAGAGAGGAAAGAGCAGAATCCTCCCTCTGGCAGCTATCAAGGTCTCTGCTCCTCCTGACAGGAGTGATGCTGCAATCACTGACAGCAGTGAAGTGCTGGAGATTGGAACGGCCAAAGCACCCAATGTGTAATACCCCCCCCCGCCTACTTTTCCCCATATTAACTCTGTTCCCAGGGCACATAGCCCTTCTGCCTTCCCCCCTTGTCCCTGCTCTGGCTACAATAAATGATGTCCTTCAGGAGCTTTTATCATGGCCACCAACCAATAGGTCACCATGGTACACATTGCATGATGCCTTTTCTTTAGCCCACAGAAACCATGAAAGGGCTGATTGGTTGTGTTTACCCTCCAGGACAAGGGTTCTCAGTCTTCACCAGGTTGTAGCAGTAGATTAGTGAAGCAAAGTGAAAAGCTAAGGGTAAGTGCAGCAGGACTGCTCTGTATATGGAAGAGGGTGTTTGGTTTTACATCTATGGTGGCAGATTTAACGTACCACTGCATGTTTTTTTTCTTTTGTCTGTAACTAATAGCCTAAATATCAGATTATGGAGCCAGTAAAAACAAAAAGCAGCAACACGACAATATACTACATCTCTGAAGATAAGCAGGCATCTCACCTTGTTTCCAGACACTGGGATGTAGCCATCTTGAATCCCCCATTTTCTAATATTTGGTGGGTTGTGGTGCTTGATTTTGAGATCTTTGTAGTTGAAGGGTTCCTCACTGTTGTTGGAGCTCAGAATAATGAGGAAGGTGACTAAAGCAAACAGGAATAGGAGGGCAGCGGTACGGCCCTGAGCCATTCCATCAGACATACAAAAGAAAAAAAAGGAGAGAAGAGAGTTAGATGTTGGCTCTGTGAACAAGATGGCTGCTGTGCTATGAAATGATGAAAGAGGCGCATATCTACCATATCTTACATCCTCCATTCATTGAAAGGGGGCAGTTATGGAATTAAAGTGGTTGTACACCTCAGACCTGCAATATGAACAAAGCAGAGCCATCTATAGTGTGTACTTGTCGCAATTAAGAACACTAAGGGCTTGATTTACTAAAGGTAAATATATTGTACAGTTGCTTTACATCCAATGGGAGGCTCTGCAGTGAGGCAAAGCTCTGCTGATTTCCTTCATCCAATGATGTGCCAGCAAAAATGCTGTTTTTTTTTTTTTCCCTTGCATGTTCCCCTTACATCTAGAGCAACTGCACTTCCAACTGCACAGCCTATTTGCCTTTATTAAATCAACCCCCATGTGTCAATTCTGTCTGCTATTTAATTTCTCTGCTATCAGCATGAATTACTTGTGACAAGTGTTCCTGACACCAAGAGAAAAATGGTGGCGGGGAGGGACCTCCAGCAGATTGACAGCCTCAGCTCTGTTCCTGTGTGCTGTATGGAGGGGGTGTGTGTCTCTTCCCTCCAATCAGCTCTCAGAGCTCTCCTCACTGAGCTCTGCAGAGTTTAAATCCAGCTCTCCGCCCTCTTCTTTCTGAACTCTAGAAAAGCTTTATAAATTCTTTATAAATTCAGCACCTTAAATGGATGTAGAGAAGAGAGGCAGCAGATAAACAGGTACAACTTATGTAGGAGGATTTGTTTAATCTCTGTGTATCACCTGAAGCCAGTCACTTCACTGAGTATATGTAACCACTTTAATTGTAAATCACTTAAAGTGGAACTAAACCCTCCTATCCTTTACAGCCAAGGAAGCTGCCATCTTAGCCTCTGTTTGATCTGCAGTTGCCATGGTGCTGCACATGTGATCAGTTTTGACACCAGCCATGGCTCTCCAATAAATCTTTTTTTAGCTGTAAGGGGGTATTTTTCCTACTGACCAAACCTGAGCTTGGCCGCTTGGTATGGAAGCCATATAGAGAAGTCTTTGAATTTTCTCAATGAATGTAAAGTGTTTTCCGATTGGACGATGAATTCACAATGCAGCAAGCAGCCAATCACCGCTCAGAAGAAAGTGAAGATCACTGGAGTAGCGGTGTCTTCTACAGTGATTTTTAGCTTCTAGAGGGATCCCAAGCTGGACCAATGTTACAAAATAAAAAAATGCAATTCAGATTTAATGGCAATTCAGATTTAAAGTTCACTTTTCATTAAAAAATAATAAATGTAGGTTAGAAAAGTGCAAAGTATTGCATCTGCGGTCAGCAGATTGAGAGTGCAGTGTCAGGCTCCTACACAAACTGCCTACAGCCAATTTGTGCCCCATTCTTGGTGTCAGTGGGAGGAATAGTGCCCCATCCTTGGTGTCAATGGGAGAATTTGCACCCCATCCTTGGTGTCAATGGGAGAATTTGCACCCCATCCTTGGTGTCAGTGGGAGAATTTGCACCCCATCCTTGGTGTCAGTGGGAGAAATAGCCCCCCATCCTTGGTGTCAGTGGGAGGAATAGCCCCCCATCCTTAGTGTCAGTGGGAGGAATAGCCCCCCATCCTTGGTGTCAGTGGGAGGAATAGCCCCCCATCCTTGGTGTCAGTAGCCCCCCATCCTTGGTGTCAGGAATAGCCCCCCATCCTTGGTGTCAGTGGGAGGAATAGCCCCCCATCCTTGGTGTCAGTGGGAGGAATAGCCCCCCATCCTTGGTGTCAGTGGGAGGAATAGCCCCCCATCCTTGGTGTCAGTGGGAGGAATAGCCCCCCATCCTTGGTGTCAGTGGGAGGAATAGCCCCCCATCCTTGGTGTCAGTGGGAGGAAATAGCCCCCCATCCTTGGTGTCAGTGGGAGAAATAGTGCCCCCCTTGGTGTCCTTGGTGTCCCCAGTCAGTGGGAGGAATAGCCCCCCATCCTTGGTGTCAGTGGGAGGAATAGCCCCCCATCCTTGGTGTCAGTGGGAGGAATAGCCCCCCATCCTTGGTGTCAGTGGGAGGAATAGCCCCCCATCCTTGGTGTCAGTGGGAGGAATAGCCCCCCATCCTTGGTGTCAGTGGGAGAACTAGCACCCCATTCTTGGTTTTCAGTGGGATAACTAGCACATCCAGTGGGAGGAATAGTGTCCCCTTGATTCTTGGCATCAGTGGGAGAAATAGTGCCCCATCTTGTGTCAGTGGGAGGAATAGTGCCCCATCCTTGGTGTCAGTGGGAGGAATAGTGTCCCCATCCTTGGTGTCAGTGGGAGGAATAGTGTCCCCATCCTTGGTGTCAGTGGGAGGAATAGTGTCCCCATCCTTGGTGTCAGTGGGGAGGAATAGTGTCCCCATCCTTGGTGTCGGTGGGAGGAATAGTGTCCCCATCCTTGGTGTCGGTGGGGGAGGAATCCTTGGTGTCGGTGTGTCCCCATCCTTGGTGTCGGTGGGAGGAATAGTGTCCCCCCATCCTTGGTGTCGGTGGGAGGAATAGTGTCCCCATCCTTGGTGTCGGTGGGAGGAATAGTGTCCCCATCCTTGGTGTCGGTGGGAGGAATAGTGTCCCCATCCTTGGTGTCGGTGGGAGGAATAGTGTCCCCATCCTTGGTGTCGGTGGGAGGAATAGTGTCCCCATCCTTTGGTGTCGGTGGGAGGAATAGTGTCCCCATCCTTGGTGTCGGTGGGAGGAATAGTGTCCCCATCCTTGGTGTCGGTGGGAGGAATAGTGTCCCCATCCTTGGTGTCGGTGGGAGGAATAGTGTCCCCATCCTTGGTGTCGGTGGGAGGAATAGTGTCCCCATCCTTGGTGTCGGTGGGAGGGTGTCCTTGGTGTCGGGGAGGAATAGTGTCCCCATCCTTGGTGTCGGTGGGAGGAATAGTGTCCCCATCCTTGGTGTCGGTGGGAGGAATAGTGTCCCCATCCTTGGTGTCCCCATCCTTGGTGTCAGTGGGAGGAATAGTGTCCCCATCCTTTGTGTCAGTGGGAGGAATAGTGTCCCCATCCTTGGTGTCAGTGGGAGGAATAGTGTCCCCATCCTTGGTGTCAGTGGGAGGAATAGTGTCCCCATCCTTGGTGTCAGTGGGAGAATCCTTGGTGTCAGTGGGAGAATTAGTACTCCATTCTTGGTGTCAGTGGGAGGAAGGGAGGAACCGCTCTGCAACCGCGTGTGGTGGGGTTAAAACAGGCAATGAGGAGGCACCATATCGCCTCCTCACCACCTGTCAAATGCCCTCTAAAGTTGTCCTTTGGAGCCATTGGCAGGATTAGTGCCTTGTTGTTGGTGTCGGGAACTATGCCCCTTGCTGACAGTGGAGGGAATAATAGCCCAAGGGCTAAATAAAGGCACGCAAAGGTCTGTATCCGGCCCCTGGGCTGCAGTTTGGAGACCACTGCCATAGACAAAACCAGCAGCATTTTATAGTTTCCTGGGGTCAGGATCTAAGCCCTTGGTTTTGCAGCTATGCAGTTTACAAACCATGAGGATATTTTTTGCTTTTTTATGTTGTTTTATACAGACAAATACATTGATTTCTTTACTGCTGTATTTGTCTGCAATAACAATCATTGCACATCCTTTTATGCAGCATGTACATGAAAGGTGAAAATATGCATTCATAGGACAGAATAGACTCCTTACGTATGGGACTAGGGCACGGCTCTGTAGGTCAGTGCGATCTAATGGCGGGGTTGCGGTGTACAGAAGGTGCAGGGAGGTCGGTGTATGGGACTAGGGCACGGCTCTGTAGGTCAGTGTGATCTAATGGCGGGGTTGCGGTGTACAGAAGGTGCAGGGAGGTCAGTGTATGGGACTAGGGCACGGCTCTGCAGGTCAGTGCGATCTAATGGCAGGGTTGCGGTGTACAGTAGGTGTAGGGAGGTCAGTGTATGGGACTAGGGCACGGCTCTGTAGGTCAGTGCGATCTAATGGCGGGGTTGCGGTGTACAGTAGGTGTAGGGAGGTCAGTGTACGGGACTAGGGCACGGCTCTGCAGGTCAGTGTGATCTAATGGCGGGGTTGCGGTGTACAGTAGGTGTAGGGGGGTCAGTGTATGGGACTAGGGCATGGCTCTGCAGGTCAGTGTGATCTAATGGCGGGGTTGCGGTGTACAGAAGGTGTAGGGAGGTCAGTGTATGGGACTAGGGCACGGCTCTGCAGGTCAGTGTGATCTAATGGCGGGGTTGCGGTGTACAGGAGGTGCAGGGAGGTCAGTGTATGGGACTAGGGCACGGCTCTGCAGGTCAGTGTGATCTAATGGCGGGGTTGCGGTGTACAGAAGGTGCAGGTAGGTCAGTGTATGGGACTAGGGCATGGCTCTGCAGGTCAGTGCGATCTAATGGCAGGGTTGCGGTGTACAGGAGGTGCAGGGAGGTCAGTGTATGGGACTAGGGCACGGCTCTGTAGGTCAGTGCGATCTAATGGCGGGGTTGCGGTGTACAGAAGGTGTAGGGAGGTCAGTGTATGGGACTAGGGCACGGCTCTGTAGGTCAGTGCGATCTAATGGCGGGGTTGCGGTGTACAGTAGGTGTAGGGAGGTCAGTGTATGGGACTAGGGCACGGCTCTGCAGGTCAGTGTGATCTAATGGCGGGGTTGCGGTGTACAGTAGGTGTAGGGAGGTCAGTGTACGGGACTAGGGCACTTTTTTATATTGTTTTATACAGACAAATACGTTGATTTCTTTACTGCTGTATTTGTCTGCAATAACAATCATTGCACATCCTTTTATGCAGCATGTACATGAAAGGTGAAAATATGCATTCATAGGACAGAATAGACTCCTTACGTACGGGACTAGGGCACGGCTCTGTAGGTCAGTGTGATCTAATGGCGGGGCTGCAGTGTACAGAAGGTGTAGGGAGGTCCGTGTGCAGAGATTATTACACTTGTGTTAGTCATCTCCCAGGTGAGTCTGATTACGGCGCTGTCCTTTTCTTACATCTTCCACCTACAGCGAAGAAAAGGTTCAGTGTAATAAATTACAGACCTCGCTCATGTTCTATCCTTTCTTTAATGACATAGTAGTGCTCTGATGTTAAAGTACATGTCAACCCCAATCACTACAATCTCATTGTCCTTTTTTAATATTTATTAAATCTGCAGCTTTGTGTAAATAATATCTGGTGATCCTTTCATTAAAGCGTTACTAAACCCACAATAGTAAATCAGTCTGTATATGCAGTAAAGCATGCTTGTTATGTTCACTGTGGAATCTAAGGGGTTATACCTCTGCATTGTGTAAAAAAAAAAAAAAAAAGTTTGATCCTGTCTTCTCTGCTCCTCTTCTTGTTAAAATGTCCACGCCTTACCTCCTGATAAGACAGACTGAATCCGTAGCTATTCTGTACATGCTCAGTTTAGTGTGTATTGCTAGAGAGATTTTTTTTTTCTTGGGAGAGTACATGTGATCAGCACTGTCCAGACAGAGGTCAGGGGTTCTGCATCCTCCTAGAGAAAACTCATCCTACAAGCTTTAACCAGTGCCCTGCTGGAGACTGATAGAAGTCACAAGACTGCTCTAACTGCTGATGAGCAAAGGTATTTAGCAGTTATATTTACTAAAATAATTGCACTTCCGTGTTGTGTGTACTGTGGGAGACCAGATATAGTGAATGCGGGGTCCAGGGAGACCAGATATAGTGAATGCAGGATCCGGGGAGACCAGATATAGTGAATGCAGGGTCCGGGGAGACCAGATATAGTGAATGCAGGGTCCGGGGAGACCAGTTATAGTGATTGCAGGGTCCGAGGTTTAGGAACACTTTAAGGTCCTCATTCAGGCACTTCCTGTTATAAGGTGACATCTGTCCCTGTCTCCCAATTGTGTTCCTGTGTCTTCCACCATCACATAGGTGAATAAAAGCGGCCTTTTCCACTAACAGTGCTCAGACATGGCTTCCTGGTTTCCATTGCCACCATCAGGACACTCACCCAGCCAGACCAAACAAGCATTGTAATATAAATCCGCACATGGCACTAATGGTAGGTAATGTGCCTTGTACTGCTGACTCCTGGTTTAGTAGAAATCTTCCTCCTCTGATACACCCACCCCCACCCAGTGGTGTCTTCTCCATGAGTACTGTGCACAGGGGATGGGGCCCACTCTGCTCTCACCCTCTCTGCACCCATGGAGGAGACAAGCCTGAGGCTGCAGTCCTTCCTGTCACTGCCCTCCCTGCCTGTCACTGCCCTTCACTGCCCTCCCTGCCTGTCACTGCCCTCCCCCTTCACTGCCCTCCCTGCCTTTCACTGCCCTCCCTGCCTTTCACTGCCCTCCCCCTGCCTGTCACTGTCACCCTCCCTGCCTGTCACTGCCCTCTCTGTCTCTTTCACTGCCCTCCCTTCCTGTCACTGTCCTCCCTGCCTGTCACTGCCTCCTCCCTGTCTGTCACTGCCCCCTCTGCCTGTCACTGCCCTCCTTGCCTGTCACTGCCCTTCCTGCCTGTCACTGCCCTCCCTGCCTCCTGTCACAGGATCTGTGCGCCTCCATTCTCACACACAGATCCTGTTACTGGAGCTGGGGGCGGGTACTGCTCTGTGGGGGGCAGGGCACTGATGTCATCCACTGGAGCCTGGGAGACAGAAATCTACCATGTGTCAGAGAGACCTGACAATAATGTGAGGTCTGGGAGTTTGAGGGGGGGCTGGAGGGGTGGGATTGTGCAGATGAGCAGGAGGGGGCTGGGAAGACTGTGAGGATGGGGAGAGACTGTGAGGACTGAGGATGGATGGGGAATGGAGAATGAGGGAGGAAGTTGGGAAGACTGAGGATGTGGGGAACTCTAAAGCCTGACGATGAGGGGGACTGTGCAGATGATGTCCTGAAGGGGGGCTGTGAAGCCGGAGGATGGAGGATGCTGGAAAGCCTGAAGGGGAGGCGGGCTATGAAGTCTGAGGACTATGCAGATGAGCTGGAGTGGGGCTGTGAAGCATGAGGAAGGGGGGGGAGACTGTAGAGCCTGAGGATGGGGGGAGACTGTAGAGCCTGAGGATGGGCGGAGACTGTAGAGCCTGAGGATGGGCGGAGACTGTAGAGCCTGAGGATGGGCGGAGACTGTAGAGCCTGAGGATGGGCGGAGACTGTAGAGCCTGAGGATGGGGGGAGACTGTAGAGCCTGCGGATGGGGGGTGTCAGGAATGGACTTGCCAATAATGGTGGGACTCACCTGCCTTGTGGGCTGCAGTACCAGGGCTGGCCAGCGGGTGCTCTCAGCAATCAGAGACTCACCCCTGCAATCAGCCAAGCACCTGAAGCTGATTGCAGGGGTTGTATTTAAGGAATGGCCAGACTCACAGTCAGGGCCTTGGTGTGTGTGTTTTTCCATGGGCCCCTGTACCTTGTATCCTGTATTCCTGTTCCTGTCTGACTTGTTGCCGACCTTGCCTGATCCTGACCTCTGCTGACTTCTCCTGCTTGATCCTTGGCTTGTGACCCTGACCATTCTCTGCCCGATCCTCTGTACCGCGCTGCCCGTGAGTTACTGAACCCAGCTTGTGATCCCGGCCACTCTCCCGCCTGTTCCTGGTACTCCGTTTGCTACTGACCCGACCTGCCTGACAACTCTTTGTATTGTATGTTTTGTTATCTGTTGGAGGTTTGGTTTGTTTGCACTGTGTTTATGCTTAGTTTTGCACTGCGTTTTGTATTGTTAGTCTTAATAAATTATATTGTTTATACCATATCTGAAGCCTGCGTTTCCCTGTGTCAGGCCACACACCTCTGGTCATACCTGGAGCCCTGACATTGGGAGACTGTAGAACATGAGGATGGGGGGGGGGGGGGGGGGGGGGGGGGGACTGTAAAGTCTGAAGATGAGGGGGACTGTGAAAATGAGCTGGAGGGGGGCTGTAAAGCTTGAGGATGAGGGGGAGAGGCTGTGAAGACTGAGGATGGGAGGATCTGGAAAGCTGGATGGAGGGCCTGTGAGGCCTGAGGATGGGGGGACTGTAAAGCCTGACAATGAGGGAGGTGTGCAGATGAGCTGGAGGGGAGCTGTGAAGCCTGAGGATGGGGGGGAACTTTGGATGAGTGGGGATGCTGGAAAGCCTGAACGGGAGGTGGACTGTAAAGCCTGACAATGAGGGGTTCATTTCCCCATCAACTGTGCAGATGAGCTGGAGAGAGGCTGCGAAGCCTGAGGATGGGGGCGGCTGTGGAGCTTGAGGATGGAGGGAGACTGTGAAGACTAAGGATGGGGGGGGGACTGTAAGGAGTGAGAATGGGGGGAGAACAGTGGAGCCTGAGATGGGGGGGGGGAGGGACTGTTAAGCCTGACAATGAGGTGGAGTGTGCAGATAAGCTGGAGGGGGGCTGTGAAGACTGAGGATGGGGGGTGCTATAGAGCCTGAGGGTGGGGGGAACTGAGGATGAGGGGGGATGCTGGAAAGCCTGGGGTGGTGGGGGGGGGGGACGGTGAAGCCTGTGGATGAGGGGCAGGGGGGATAGTTGAGCAGTCCTTGACTATTCTAATGAAGTTCTTCTGTAAGGTAAGCTCAGATGAAATGTCAGCTCTATCTCTATATTCAGTGTACACAAAGTTATAAGTAATGGAAGAGGTTTTTTTAAATGATTGTACTGAGGTTTATACAGGTCTCTTGGCCCCTTTAAGCCGCTCCCAATGTTAATACAATTTGGCCAAACTCAGCATTACTATTCTAGGTTAAGGTTCCCAAACATGTCCGAGGTCTTTTAGAACTCCCCAGCCACAATAAAAACCATGCCCACTCTTTGCACACAGTGAACTAATCAGACCCTATTATTATTATTATATTTTAATCAAGCAATGGGGCCCAGCTTATGGTCTTGCACACAGGTTTCATAAAACGCCGCTGCCCCCATTACCATATTCTTCTGGTGCGGTGAGGGTTAATCAGAAGAACTTGTCATATGCCCCCATCAAGAGTGCCCAACTATGCTTGTCCTTTCCACCCAGTACCTCCATTCACAGGAGTTGTAGTACAACTTCTATGTATAAAACAGGATCTATGAGATGGCGGATGGGCAGACGATTGAAAGATCTCCCACCTCCTTTCATAAAAACAAAGCACACAGCCAAATAAATACTCACAAAAATAAGTGTATACAGGCATTGTATGATACAAAATTTTGTGCAGGAATAGCATGGCCAAGCTGACGCATTTTGGGGGATGTACTCCCTTCTAAACTAAGAAGCTAAACCAAGTCTTGGCTGTAGAAGGGGGTACATCCCCTGAAACATGTCAACTTGGTGTGTTTGGCCACGTTATTCCTGCATTGTATTAAGGCTTCGTGTCATACAACGCCTGTACACACTTATTTTTGTGAGAATCCATTCCGCTGTATGTTCTGTTATATACAATGAACCCTTGGTAATGCACTATGCGTGTGCATCCTCCTGTGTGCTCTTATAGTGCGAAAGAGTTAACATTTCTGTCAGGTTTTTTTGTTTCTATTTGGGGCCCTGTTAGGGAGACCTCCTCCCCACCACCACCACCACTTCTTGTTCTGTGCCACCAAAGAAGTATGGTGTTTGGTTGTCTCTAAGACAGCAAGTCACAGACAGCAATAAAAGCATTGCCATAAGTTCTTACTCTTGCCCGCTCTACTAAACTTGTTTGTCTTAGCATTTTCAGAAGGAGATCAGCAATAAAGACAGGCAGAGTAGTTGAAGTTCCCTCCACTAAATAACAAATCTGCATGCTGAACATTACAACACAAAGAGCAAAGGAAACATGCTTTTACACTATATAGGCAAATCGCACCAAATGTACCTATATGGCCAAAAGTATGTGGTCACCCCTCTAACGTATGGAGTTCAGATGTTTCCAGTGAGGAATAAAACACAGGCACTATAGACAATGGTGTGGCCTTTTAGCCTTGGAGAAAGCTCTTCTCTGTTCCAGCATGGCCGTGTCTCTGTACAGAAAGTCAGCCCCAAGAAGGCATGGTTTAATAAGTTTGGTATGAAGCGACTCAGATGGCCTGCACAGAGCACTGATCCCAACCTCATTGATCACCCTTGGGATGATCTGGAATGCAGACTGAGGACCAGGTCTTCTCACTCTATATCAGTATTTCATCTCAGAGATGTTCTTTTTGCTGAATAGGTTCAAATCCCCACAGACAGACTCCAAATTCTTGCATAAAACCTTCCCAGAAGACCTGTGATGGCCAGGTATCCAGGTAATTTCTAGCCATATAGTGAACATGCATACCTCCCAACCTCCCAGTTCATTGGGACTGTCTCTGGATTCAAATCTAATATATATCAGCCATGTCCCAGAACCGAGCACCAGAACACTGTTTCCTGCACTTGACTCAGGGTCTCTATAGTAGTACTCCAGAGTGATTTTCTGCCTGACAGTAGCTGCATAATTCCAGCAGTGATGTCCTCACACAGGTGGCAGCATGGGACAAGGATTTCTTGCATAGTTAAGTACTGTAAGCTATTGCTAATTGTGTTTTAGGGAGGAGCTTTGACTCTTCTGGCTTATGCCTTGAGGGGAAAATCCATTGACCACCAAAGTTTTCTAATGCCTTGGGGTAAGGGAAGATTCCATTGACCACCAAAGTTTAATAATGTCTTGGGGTGAGGGAAGATTCCATTGACCACCAAAGTTCACTAATGCCTTGGAGTAAGGGAAGAT